TCCCGGCCCGATTTTATCTTCCCCGGTTCGCACTCACGTTAGAAGGCTCTCTCAGTGGATTCTGCGTCTTTTTTCTCCCAATCTCTCAGGTTTTGTAAGGTTTCCAATGTCTTCAGATCTTTTCTGTGTGATGGATGGGCGCGAGTGCAAGTACGGAGCTCCTTACTTCTCCGCCATCTTGCCCAGAACACTGTACGGTTATTGTTTTGACCAAATATTATCTGACTGTTTAAAAAACCTGTTAAAAACTACTGATCGAGTGGCCAACTGCATTTCTGACTACAGTGGCAATTGGTTCAACATATTACGTTATTTTGCCTTCACAGAAGCCTTGAGAAGTGGGTAATGCTTCTATTACTTCACAGGTGAGGATCACTGATATTAAGAATCTTGGCTCAAAGTCACAAAGCTGGAAAGCGGCACCACCGAGATTCTCCCACGGTCTCTGATGCCCGGTCTGTGGTCTTAACTACCATGCCTCCCTGCCTCCTGGGTTCTAGATGGAAGCCCACAGCCCACTCCCCTGGTTATCAAACCCAATAAAGTAACTTTTTTTTGGTATGTTGTTTTGTTTTTTGTAGTTCATAATCAAAAGAGCCCTTTCACATCAAATAATCAAATATTTGGGTTTCTTTTTTTCCTTCCTGTACCAACCACTATACATAGTGAGGAAGAAGCCTATCTTAAGAAAATCATTTGTTGACAGAGGTTTATTAAAAGAAAAAAATAAAACAGAAACCTTTGGTGAAATCCTAAAATCAGGACCCACTTAAATGATGAATCCTGGCACACATTTCCACATCTGGATAATTCTTTCATTCCTTCAGCAACTGTTCCCTATGCATGAGCTGTGTGCCCACGGTTCTGCTAGGCACTGGGAGATGAACACCAAACACAAGGACGGTACGGTCACTGTGCTAGCCGGGGTCAGATGTCGGAGGACAACACACACTCGTGAGCAACCAGACGAGTGTGAATACAGCTAAGCCAAGTGCCAGGAAGGGTACCTAGAGCGTCCCAGAACGGTGACTAACCACCAGAAGGTTCAAGGCCTTCTACCAACTGTATTTTTATAAAATACCAAAAATACAGTTCCAAGACCCAATATTGGTAGTATTTTAGTTGACAAAGCACATACTGTATCTCGTTTTATTTCCATGTTCTACAAAAGAGATCTATTCCACAAGTCTAGAGCAAAGGGTTTTTTCTTTCCTCCTGTGGACTCCAGCCCCTTCTGTATGTACTTAGTTCTATTCCAAGCCCAGGGCGTGAAGCTGCCTCCAGGCAGGGCAGCGCTTAGCTCACAAGCGTGAGCATTCATGGTCCCCTTTCATACAGAAAGACAGGAGGGCCTAGACTGTTCACTTACATCACTGCCCATTTTAAGAGGCCTTCTGTTCTCAGCCGCATTTATAACCATCAATGTGCAAAAGTATTCCTAAGGCAGCAAGTCTCCAACAATGCATTTATTACATACGCATTTGTAGAAGCGGTTTAGCAAAAAACAAATTTAACCCTGACTTTGTTTTTCTTCTGTTGGTGTTTTTATTCTGCTGTTACTGGAAATGCTTTTATTCTCTCACGGTGACGGCTATATCCGAGCTTACATCCAACCTTTTTTATTAAGTGCTTTTAAATATATTTCTCCTCCCCCCACACCTCCTGCTAATACAAATGTCTTCAAGGAAGAAGAACGAGGGAAGGTGGCAGAACTCGTACAGCAGGAAGGTGAGCTGGGCCCACACCGCACGTTTCGTGTGCGTTACCCCCACAGTCCTGGCAATAACCCCGCCGGGCAGGCCCCGGGTGCCCCTGACGGGCTGCTCTGGCTCAGGGGCCACAGAGACCCTGGGGAAGGCCAGCGGGACACTGCCCGCCTCTAGGACGTCCTGCAATCCCTTCAGTCTCTCCAGGCTGCACTTCCCCGACGCAGAACCAGACAGTGAGATCACCGTGCGGAGGTCACGCAGGTAGAACACAGGGCACAGGCCCCGGCAGGCAGAAGGAGCTCACAAACTGCTAGCTATTAATTTTTATGATTTCCTAATCGCCATGCAGGAATGTCAACAACCTACAGTTATATGCTAACGGTGATTAAAGAAAAGTTGCAACCGTCAGAGGGACGACTTGGGAGTCAGCCGCGGCAGCCCCGGGCTCACAGATCCTTTGGAGTTGACAGCGCAGGCCCCTCCAGACAAGGAGGCCCGAGGCATGGCCACTTCCGGTTAACGGCCCTGGCCCTGGCCCTTGCGGGGAGGTACTACACGAGTTCTTGTCTAGCAGAGATTAGGCAAGAGCTCTGTCCTCCTTCTAGTTAACTTTTTCTTAAGAAATTCATGACTGTAAAAAACAAAAAGGACGACTTACAACTTTGTCTCATAGTCTTTCCAAGCTTTGTCAAACGGCTTCTTGAGATCCTTAGGAAAAGAGAAAATGAAATTGACATTGGATTCGCTTTTGCTCAAAGGCAAATAAACAGTTCTGAAATAACAGGGCAGCGAAAACGCTTTCCTTTACGGGACACGTGAAACCTGACACGCTCTGGCACACATCATGGTGTGTGTCACACGTGAGAAGCCCAAGCGACGGGAAGGGCGAGCTTCCCTGCGATGACCGCGGGGTCGCCGGAGGCGCGGCCAAGGCTCAGCACGGGAGCCCCGCAGCCGCGCAGGCTCTCGCGGCTGTTCCCGAAACAGACTCATCTCATTCCCATCAATACAGCTGCATGAAGGGGCACATCTTTTCCAATGATCATTTTCCAAGTACTTTCTTTTATGCTAAAAATGTTCAGAGTGCCTTTCAAATGCAAGTACCGCTATGATCTTAAAAGGTGGGGGGGGGGATCAATCCTTTCCAGTTAAAGTGAAAATCAAACTTCTGAACACTTACTCCTTTGACTCCCTTCAGGTCCCCTTTCAACAAGGAGTCCAAGGTGAAGATCACATTGTGGCTCAGACCCTGGAGCTGGAAAGGAAAGCAGACACGGGAGACAGTTAAAGAAGAAACTGCGAGTGGAATAATAAAATCAGCTACTGTGGACCGAGCACCCTGCACACACCGGGCTCCGCATAAGGGCTTCCGCGCACCGTCTCGCGGACCCTGTGCACCGCCCCGACGTCAGGCGGCGAGACCAGCCCCCCACAGCAGGCGGGCAGGTCGCTGGAGGCCCAGGCTCTGGATGACCTGGTGCCAGTGCGCATGCCCCCGTGTGAATAACTCCTTAAACCACCTGTAGACCTGTCATTGCTCCCCTGCTGACAAGCTGGACCTTAATCTGACTTTTCTTCGACTGCCTCTGTCAGAGGAAGGAGGGGGCCATGCATCTGGCTTGTATTATTCCTTCCTATGTGCTTCTCTGGCATTTGTCACCTCTGAAATCGCCCAGTGTGTGTGTACATGTACTGTGTCCCCCGGCAGAATGTAAGCTTGTTGAGGGTAAGGCCCTTGACTGTCCTCCTCGCTGTGTCTTCCTGTGCCCAGACCCATTAAAAAGACAAGATGCTAGTGCAGGTTTCTCACTGTTCTGAGGCAGTGGGCTGGCTCTCCTTGATTTTAAGCTGGTACAAAAGGGGCCTACAGAGGAGAGGGTCGTGGAGCTGGCACACAGCTGGCGAGAGGAGGGGCAGGGCAGCCAAGGGAGGGACGGCCAAGCAGGGAAAGAGTGCACAGAACCAGGACGGAGAAGAGTTAGTGATGTGGCCCCCAGCAGTGTGGGGAAGTCAGGTCCAGTCGTGCAGAACCAGGTTACAGCCGAGAGGCTGGTGGGCTCCCTCATTCAGGAAGTTCTCATTTGTCACTCCAGCCAGCCGGTCACCCTTCCACCAATCAATTACCACGTCCCTGTTCTGTGACGCCCACCATGCTAGCGGCTGGCCTGGAGAAGGTAAATCAAACACCGCTCCTGCCTTAAGAGAGCTCACATCCCAGGGACACAGGCAGTCGCCAGATGCAACCCACTCTGCCACATCATGATATTACAAGTGCTGAACAGAGGTGGAGGGAGAAAGTGGAGCGAGAAGGACCGACGCAGACTTGCGGACCCAGTGCGGGACGCCGTGCACCACCTCGGTAACTGGAAGGAAGGTGCTACAACCCGCCGCAGACGGCTGCGGTGAAGGGATTAATACACCCGCCAAGTGCCCGCTTGCTGCCACACACCCAGAAAGTGCTGAATACACATTTATTTTCAAAATCCAAAGGGCCGTTAGACAAGAAATAAGAATAAGGCAATGTGGGGCGCCTGGGTGGCTCAGTCGGTTAAGCGTCCGACTTCAGCTCAGGTCATGATCTCATTGTCTTGTGAGTTCGAGCCCTGCATCAGGCTCTGAGCTGTCAGCACAGAGCCGGGAGCCTGCTTCAGATTCTGTGTCTCCCTCTCTCTCTGCACCTCCCCCACTCACACTGTGTCTCTCTCTCTTTCTCAAAAATGAACAAACATTAAAAAAAATTTTTTCTTTAAAGAAAGCGGCCATGTGAACAGACAGGGACCCCTTCTGCAAACTCCTGCCTACTGCTCTCATCCTGGGCTCCCCGCGGCTCGCCACCCCACCTCTGCCCTCCCCGGCTTCCGATTCCCACACAAGGGAAGTTGTCCAGGGCACAGCACCAGAGGGCTTGGATCAAAAACAACCAACTCTCTCTTCTTTCAAAGACAAAGAGATTCTGAATACCAGGACAATTCTATCTGTGCAATTTCACTGCCCCCGCCCCGTCGCCCACAGAGAAACAGCCTGGCTAGAAGGTGCCAACAGTGAGAAGCCACAGAATCGGGGGCTTCGTTCTGCGAGGTCAAGGGCATTGGTTCCTGGGGAGCGGGGCAAAAAAGCTATTATTACGGCTGTGGCTTTCCAAAGGGCCAGAGGATATATAGAGTATTATCTGTGGTATTAAAACTTTGTGGGGGGAAAGATTAGTTTAACCTTCTTTCCTCCCTCCCTTTCTCTTTCTAAATGTTTATCTATTTTGGGGGGGAGGGGTAGAGAAACAGGGAGAGAGAACCCCAAGTAGGCTCTGCACTGTCAGCACTAAGCCCAATGTGGGGCTTGAGGCCACAAACTGTGAGATCATGATCTGAGCCCAAATCATGAGTCAAGACACTTAACTGAGTCACCTAGGTGGCCCCCCCCCCCCCAAATACCTTTAAAAGACTCCTTGGGATGGGGTGGCACAGTTTGCAGGGAATAATAGCATTGAAAAACACTGGCCGTGGGCATGAGATGGGAAAAGAGAGATGAACAGGACTCAGTCTCGGCCAAAGAGGCACAGCCGCACGAGTCCTCAGCAAGCTCACTCCTGAAACAGCAGCTCCGGCAGCCTGCTCTCCTGGTGGTCTCAGGAGTTCGGGTGGACGGTGGTAAGCGAGGCAGGGGCCGACCAGCCCTCCACTCGTCAGGCCAGGGCCCACTTCTCCATTCGTCGACATCCTCAATTTTCTTCAAAAACACTTACCATCCCTCACCATTTATGTATGTACTTTCCTCTTTGTTTCTTGTACCCTCAGTTCGAAAGCAAGCTCTCTGAGAGTAGGGTTTGCATGTTCATGGCTGTATTTCCAGAATCTAGAACGCTGCCTGGCACAGAGTAGGTTCTCAACAAATATGTGCAGAATAGAGGAAATACAGAATCATGTGAGCACAGGTTCTTCTCTACAGGACTGTTTATTCTGAGGGAAAGCTTAGTACTTGTCGATAAGGGACTAGTTAAATTAATTACAGAAGTTCTAAACAGTAGCCATAAAACTGAGAAAATTCTCTATGTCTAACTTTGGAAACCGCTCCAAGATAAATTGTTATGTGATAAAAGCAAAGTATAAAACACTATTCACAGCATACAAAGTTCAGTATAAAAAGAACAGGGGCACCTGGCTGGCTTAGTTGGTGGAGCGTGTACCTCTTGGCCTGGGGATGTGAGTTCTAGCCTCAGACTGGGTGCAGTGATTACTTAAATACATAAAAGTTTAAAATTATCTAAAACAAGCAATGAGTTGATAGTGATTCTAAACCATTTTTAACTTTTCCTAGAATCAGGTTTTCACCAATGCCTTATGAAATGAAGCAGGAAGAAAAGATACATTAATGCGATGCCACTTTGGTCTGAAGGCTGCATTACAAAATACGAATGAAAACATTAAGAAACTCTGTGGTTAGTACTGAATGTGGGGGCTGTGTGGAAGGAAAAGTCCCTCAAAAGCCATGTACTGACCACACAACAGACACACGCTGTAACCTTTCAGTGCCGTCATCGGGTTAGGAGTGGGGTGGGGTGGGGGGGCAGGCTGTAGTGGGGCTGATGGAAAACCCCAAGAATTAAGAATTTCTCTGTGGTTATCCACACACATACTCCTGGGGGCTGATAAGAAGCCCAGAAGGCCACACACCGTGTATTTATGAATGAGAATCTTCCCAGTGATGAGCCTAGCAAAAAACCCCAGGAAGAAAATCTGAAACTTAAACTTTCCCCACCTTACTTCCCAGGAAAAAGGCGGTCAATTTGCAAAAACTGGCAAGGGCATCGGTTTTAAGTAAAAAGCAAATAGAAACTCTCTGTCATTGTGAAGATGCGGAGAAAAGTCAAAAAGAAAACAGACTACTCTCGAGAAAAGGAAACTTTTGAGAAATATTTCCCAGAGGCCCAAATTTCCTTCGCTGCAGATCTCAGTGAAGAGAAGACCTATTTTCTCCGATACTGGTAGGTACTGCTGTGGGATAGTGACGGATGACATGCTTCACGGTTGTAGGATTCTGTGATTTTCCTGCTTTTTTATTTTCCAGCTCTTTCAGAAATCCTTCTCACGGTCTGAGCAAGGCTTGCAAACGGATACAGCAGCACTTCTGGGGCAACCACGAGGCCGCCAACATCATCCAGGAATAAAACAAGTCAACAGACTTCCTGTATCACCTTCATTATCCTCAGCGGCTTCTTTAAAAGCCTTTCAAATCTATTATATCATTATTTCCCATTAATTTCACTAAAATTCTATTGATTACTCCATTTCCATTTACTCAACTTCCAACCTATTTCCTTGCCTTTAACGGTAAAGGTGAATTAACATAGGCCGTTTACACACGCCAAGATAACAGGACGGTGAAGGGCATCCCTTTTTCCATTTTATTAAGTGAACACATTAGAAGGCATTTCAGGAGTGATGTTTGGGTGAGGTAAATGTGTCTGCTTTCCAAACAAATGGCTGTTTCCTTCCTCACAAAGAGGAAATTTCCTCTGCAAGTATATACATCAAGCCCAAAGAGAAATAGGGAATAAAGACAGGAGAAGGTTGATGTCTATTCTTTCATTAGGCAAAAGTGATTTGTTTAAGCAAACAGACTGTAATTAATAATGGTTTTGATCACAATAACCACTTATTCCTACAACTGCTCGGACACCACCAGACATCAGTCAAACAGCCCCCGTTAGAGAGGGCTTCGTGATGCCTTCCTCTATGTATCTGCTCTAGTTTTTTTTAAAAAATTCCCTTTAGAGTTTTACCACAAAATGAAATGATCTCGTTATTTCTTTATGATTTATCACCTGTCTTTTCCTCTCTAGAACGGATGCTTCTTAATTAAGGGGAAGCATCTTCTCTGTGCTGTCCACTAACCGACCAGGTCCCAAAGCAGGAGCCAGCAAGCAGCTGCCGGTAGCCACACCGCACTGTGGCTTCTGGCTTGCCCGTGGGCACGTGGGGCTCCGCGCCACTCGAGGGCACACAGGCACGGGGGGGAGGGCAGTGACTCAGCAGGGTCCCTGTGGGAGCGCAACACGGCTCTACACACTGTACCCTGCCCCCTTCGCCCCCACATGCACACGACACCGTATCAATGAACAGGGACAGAATTTGCGTACTTTGTCATCCTGCATTAATCCTGACATGCCTTCTCCACTGCCCACCGGTTCTCTCTCCTTCCCTCTACAGACAGAAAGTAAGGCCAAAGCAAATCTGCTGACTTGCTCAACACATTGGAAAA